CTAAAATTAAGATCTTATTACATTTTATCTAATAACTTCGAAAACTAAAATGCAATAAAATTAAAAAATTCCCAGAATCTTATTTTCCCTAGCAACCTCCCCATATAATCATCTTTATCGTTATTTTACAATTCATGAATTTTCACTACATATATTTTCCATTCTTATTAACACATTCTTTAAGAATATGGATAGAATGGGTTGCGACAGTTTAACAGTATCATTTTGTAAGCTTTTTAGAAGTTCTATTTTACTTAAAATGCATTTTTTAAAATTTCGAAATTTTTATTATAATTTTTATATTTTGATTTACTTATTCCTTTTAGGCTTGCTTATTCATTAAGCTTTACTTCCGTGTTGGCGCAACATTTTGACGTTTAATTGATTTTTAGTTTTATTTTTAAATATAGTTTAGCTAATTTTTATGGAAAATCTAGAACCAAAGGCAAAAGTATTGGCGCACAAATTTTCACACTCATTGTCGCACAAAATGATCAGACTTAAAAATAAAAAGAGTTTGCGATCATTTTATTAATTTTTGTTCTTTCAATCATGATAGCAGGAATTTACAATATTTCGGAAATTACTCCTAACTTGCTTTTTGAACTTCTTAATGTAATTAAAGTTCTTTTATTAAAATAAAGTTGTTGCTTTATTTATTTATTCTTTATTTTTTAATTTGCATATAGGAACTAGGCGATTTTAACAGAAAAGTTGCGATTACTATCAAAAACCTTTCGCCACAAGTAACTCTCGAGTATCCAGAAGTTTATATTGAATCGGGAACGTCTAATTATGGGCTTCCTATGAATCAACTAACAAGTGATAAAGGGTTAGTTTGGGGTGCTCGTAAGACTGCTGGCTTTATCGGAGGTACTGTAGGGGTTATTGTGTACCATCTTAAAGATCGTAATGAATCTTTGGCCTTCATGTGGAGCGTCCCATTTAACTATGGCTTTTACTCTAATTGGTGGAATATAAAAATTTTTAAAGGTCGTGTTAGAGCTAACCAAGGTAAGATTGTTCTCCAGGCTTTACTTATTCAAACTTATCATAACGATATTTATCTTTGTGTCATTTTGTTCTAGCATTATATGAAAGGATGTATCATGACCTTCCCCATGAAGGTGACAATAATATCCATCGCGGAATTCTAAATTCTGATCTTCTATACTCGGGATCCATGGGAAACTCTGGAACACCTACTATTGAATTAGAGATTTTAAATTATAGAGCTATTAGTACAGCTTATTCTTCCGCTTCTGTTAGCGAAAAAAGAAGTTATTAAAAACTTTTCTAAGTTTATGATATAAATTTATTCGAGTTTTTGGATTTTCGTTAAAAAAAAAAATAAATAAATAAATAAAAAACTTTTTTTCATTTTTTTCCGATGATTATTGTTTGCTCATTTAGGAAATTTTAATGTAATACGAAAATGTCACGTGAACAGTTATCAATACTTAACGTTTCATTAAAGCAACTTTGCAAACTGCACATTTATTTGCGACTAATTTGGTTTAGGGTATTTTATTTCTAGGTGATCATAAGAAATTAAACAATAGTATTTAATATTTAATTAATTTTAAATATAATTTTGATGTATAAATAGTACCTTTACCTTCATTTCGTTCAATAGGACCTTTACATTTTTTAGCTTATTAGAAGATCCAAAAATAAAATTTTTAATTTTTTACTTTAAATGTTATAACATAACAAAGCATTTTTAAAACTTCCAAATGAAAAGAAATTTTTTTATGTATTTATGTTTTTGATTACTTATTACTTTAGGTTTTTCATTAAGTTTTACCTTTCATATTTAGTGGCGCAGCATTATCGCGTGACAATTTTTTTTTTAAAAAAAAAAGTTTTAAATTTTACTTAAATAAATTATATATATGATTTATAATATTTTTGGTCGACCAGTCAGTCAAAATCGGGTAGTCGACCGGTTGTTCGGAGAAGGATTTGACCGAACGACGGATATGACCGGTCATGACCGTGACCATTAGCAAGCCGTGCTGTATAGCACGAAATGTAGTATCACACGAATAATGGATTGTTTATAATACATATTTATTAAAAAAAAATATTATTTTGTTTTAACTAGCCTTAATTAATATTATGAATTGCAAGACATATAAGTTGATTTTCTTCATATTAAGTTATTTGTTTTTAAAAGTTGAGACATTTACTCCTTTAGGACGTCAATCTCATTCTTCTGTCCTTGTTGAAAATAAACTTTATTTTTTTGGCGGAGTTTCTGCTGATAAAGAATGTTTAAATGAAGTTTTCTTTCTTGATTTATCTCAACAATTTAATGTAGAGCTTCCGCTATGGACCGACCTTACTTTAAAATCAGGAATAGGATTTGGAAGTTGTTGGGCAGCTACTGCATTAACTTATAACGAAAATAATCCGATTATTTACCTAATTGGAGGAATGATGCGAAATCAAAATAATGAAGATACATTTACTTCTCTTGTATATACATATAATCTAAAATCAGAACAATGGATTATGCCTGTAATGAAGGGGAAAGTTCAGTACGACGTAGGGCTTTTCAAGCTGTTGCAGATGATTTTGGAAATATTTTTGTTTTTGGTGGAGCTGCAGATAAGCAAGTAGGGTCAAACATTGTTCAATATTTTAATGACATGGCAGTATTAAATACTCATGATTCAACATGGTCATATGGCCCTATTGTCAATGCTCCCTTACCGCGATTTTGTTTTACTGCGACATTATTATCAAATGGTGATATTATATACATTGGTGGTATAGAGGTTCTCAATGATAACACCGGACGTATTGTAGATATCAATCAACTTTCCCTTTATGATACCAAATTATCGTCTTGGTCAGTAGTGGTACGTACATATTTATATTAATATGAACTCCTTTGTTAGAAAAATTAGAAAAATTTAAAAATTAAATTAATATATTAAGCAAGCGAAAGTTAACGGTCAAATTGAATCTCGCTTTTTACACTCGGCTGTTCTAGGTATAATTTTTTTACAATAAAAAAATTCATCGTGTTTTAAAATATAGTAATTAATTTATTATATACAAATATATATTATTAGTTTCTGATGGAAGAATCATAATTTATGGAGGGGCAAAAGAAACTAAAGATGTTAAAGTTTTTCCCGATTTGGCGGTTTTAAATACTTCAACATCTCCATTTGAATGGACTATCCCAAAAGTATCA